TTCGTAGCCTCCTTACACAGCGTAAGCATAATTGTCGGGATTACGCTCAAACGCCGCATACGCCCATATCCTTGCAGCAGAGCGTTGCACAAACGTCGAAAGCCCGTCGACAAAGCCACCTTGATGCTTCAAATATCCATACATGAACACGAGAGACAAGCAACTCACCTCAAAAAAATTGAGTCGCACGTTGCCCTCAGCAGACGAGTTAGGCATGTCGATGTCCGTGAAGCGGCGACGCTGTGCCTGGAGCAACGTCAGCAGGGGATAAATAAATAAATGATTGAGCCAGCCGCGTAATAAATTAGAGCAATGGAACTGAAGTGCGGCGGCTACAGCGTGAAGGTTTTGCAATGAACAGTACCTTGCAAACGTTTGCAGGGTCCAAAGCAGCTTCTCGGAACTCCACGCAGCTGTTCATATGTTCTAACTCATTTGCTGGTGATATGTAGGAAGCTAGCAGCTTTGACGAACGCAACAGAGGTGGAACAGGCCAAAATACGTTGTGTAAAAGCCAGAGATTATATATCGGGCGTTGTGCACATTTGCTAAAAGAGCTGGAAGTGCTATGGAAGGTGACTTTTGTCAGTGGCCAGCTTGATTGTACGGCGTCCGGTAAAGGTGCGCAACAGCTGCAAATCCAGGTGGTGTGTTGGTAAGGTGCAGATCGGCGAACTCACTTTGTCAACAGTTAGCCTATTTATATTTATATTATAGCTGCATGTCACTGCATTATCACGTCCACTCCCGTTCCTCTGCACCTGGTTACGTCCCCGGAAGCAATATCCCTCAGTGCAAGCCCTTGAAAACAACATATCAAGTCATCATGAAGGCCGCTGCTCCATTTTTGCTTATGCGCAAAGCGGGCGATTGACGTATTCTGCTCATGGCGGAAGTGCCACGAGCTATTGATACAGCGTTATGGATCTTGAAGCTCTTCTTGCGTGTCTAAGATGCTTTGAGTCATGTTTGCTCACAGGAGGAACTGCGGCCCGAACAAGGGCGCCACCGAACTACTATCATGGAGGGCTTCCTTTGACAGGGCTAAGCCCTATACACACCTTACGGGTTCCAATCTTCCGTTAAACGCAGGCCTTAGGTGCTCCGAGGAAAAAGCGACATACCGAAGGTCATCGTCAACCACCTACACAATGACAAGGATGCTGGCGCCCTCACCCTCGCTGTCACCAGCACCAGCACCGT